ATGGTGTAATCAAATGGGTGATATATATATATATATAAAGTTTGCCCCTGAAGAAGAAAGGTCTACCTTTCGAAAGCGCTCGGGTTATGTGATTTTTATTCATTTCTGTATGTAAAGAGAGTTTAGTGACGTAATGAAGGTCATCCGGTTTTCCAGGATATGTTTAGTATATTTCTCTATGTACTGTTGTAAACGTCTCATTTCCGATACAATGTAGCCAATGGCGAAAGTGTATGTGAAAAGGTGTTAGGTATATTTTACTTTAGAAATAGCTAAATATATGTATATTTAAAACTATACTTAAGTGTTTAAGTCAAATAAAGGTGACACCTGGAGACTGATTAAAAAATATATGTTATGCTAATTAATTTATAACAAAAAAAAACAGGTATGAAAAAATTATCTTAAATAAATAGTAAGTTTTAGGAAATTCACCTTACATGAAAAAAATATAAACAAATAATAAAAAAATATTTTTCAGACAGAGATGAAACAAATGAACGGAGATCACTGATTCCAGGATCTAGATTAACTCCAAAAGGTTGGACAGTGTTTAGATTAGCAATCCAATAAGCTTCTTTTATTTCTTTATCTGCCTATTATATATATATATATATATATGTAATAAATTTCAAGTAATTAATATAAATGCTTACAATGGACATTTAATTTCCGCTCTTCCCTCAATGTGGTCCTAGGCATTAATTTGTTTTCGGCAACACAGGCTAAGATTTGATTATCATCTTCAACCATTGGTGTAAATATGAGAGTGCTGATGGTTGAGTTACCATGATTGGACACAGTAGTCCTAGCTGTTCTAAGCTCCTTGAACCCTTTCCACCAAGTAATAGCAACTGGTGGTCGTGATCCGGCACTATGACAGTTTAGTTTGGTTGGAGTTCCCGCTGATAATGGCTGTTGACCTCCTTCCATTTCAAGTAATAGAGGCCTGACTGAGTAATCAAATTATGTATTCTTAATTCGTTAAATATATAATAAATTTACCAAAAGTACATAAAGTGTCCTTAAGAGCAAGAAATAGTAAAAATATTTCAACTTCGGTCATCGTTGTATTTTATAGAAATAAAATATAAATATATTCCTTTGTATTATCGTACAAAATGACTTTTTTTTTTTAGTTGTTCAATATTTCATTTTTTTTTCTAAGATAAACGTTCGCAGAATAAACCCCTACAAAACATATTCCGTATCAATTTATTTATTTCTAAACAAATGATTTGTCTATGTATCTATCGATAAATACAATAGCTAAAAAACAATTATACGTAAATGTTTCTACTTGGGTAAAATACTTTAATGATACAATTCTTATAGACTAAGTTACGTGAAAAATTGTTGTATTTTTCAAAGGGAGGTTATGTTATTTGTTTTTATTTTTACATGTGCTTTAACAAATAATTTAAACACTCTTAAAAATGTTATAAATAAAAAAACACATTTAGAAGAAGTTTTATTAGCACCGTGAATACAAAAATTTCCCCATACTCATCTCAGAAGTAGGTTTTGCGTAAAATATGTAAAAATGGATCGTATGAAATAAAAATATAAATTAAAAGGTAAACATTGTTCATTACAAGAGCGTATTTCCTAATGTTTGCAGTACACCAAATGAAGCTATTATATTTCAGTAGTAAAAAGGTAAACATTGTTCATTACAAGAGCGTATTTTCTAATGTTTACAGTACACCAAATGAAGCTACTATATTTCAGTAGTAAAAAGGTAAACATTGTTCATTACAAGAGCGTGTTTCCTAATGTTTGCAGTACACCAAATGAAGCTATTTTATTTCAGTAGTAAAAAGGTAAACATTGTTCATTACAAGAGCGTATTTCCTAATGTTTGCAGTACACCAAATGAAGCTATTTTATTTCAGTAGTAAAACGGTAAACATTGTTCATTTACTTTTTACTTTCCAGTGAATATGATACTTACAATTCATATCCAATGTTACTGTTGATGAAAGAGCAGTGGAAAGGTTGGTATTCGAGGCACAGCAGGTAAAATCTGCCATCAAGTCGTGTCTACGGAGTCTAGGAATTACCAGTTCATTGACAGTAAAACCATTATTTGCCAGGCTGTAGTTGTCGTCTAATAGAACGGATTCTCTCCACCAAGTAACAGAAGGCATTGGACTACCTTTAGATAAACAAATAAAAAAAATCTAGTTAGTCGCTAAAAATAAATAAATAAAGCAATAAGTCCCATTTTCAGAGATATATTTCATTCTTGAATACGTTTTTGATCGAGAATTTCTTTAAATAACATCTGTTCAGTCTTATAAAATTCAGAATGAACTCGAAGAGGCTTACATAGATATGAGACATAACTATTCATGGATAGTAGTGTAACTAGTCTACGAATCAACTCAAAAATAACGTCATGATTTAGAGAAAGTAATGTATGGGATTTGATGAAGAAAAATTGTAATTTTATGATTTATTCCACGATCACGTGTTATATTTGAATGTCATGGTGGATTACTAACTATATAAACTGATTGTGTCTCGCAAAGATTGCTTCTGCTTCATAAAAAAAAACAATATACGAGTATACTTAAAGGTTTAAAACTATACAACCAATCAGAATACAAGTGAAGGGAATATCGTTTTTTTTGTGATATATAAACAATGTATACCGTATTTAATTACATACTTTTACAAGTTTTACTTGGCCGATCTCTTGGAAACCGTACTTTGAAACAACACCAAAACTAACAGATGACTCCTCTTATAAAGATATTAGATCTCGTCACCTTTATATAATGTATTTTACATAGAAACAAAAATTCATATCACAGAAGGACACACATGAAGCCATTAGTTCACATTTAAGGTTTTCTTCAGGCATTAGTATGAAAATTGATTAATTATTTAATGAATTTATAAAAAATATAAGGATGTAACTAAAACAATGCTGGTTAAACAATAAATAACGATGATAGATTAATACAAGATACCGTTTAAAGTAATCTAAAATAACGTTTAAATACACTATTTATAAGGATAAAAGTTTCGACATTTTCCAGCCAGAGTAATTCAAGAAGTAATGAACATCTTGTCAGGATATTATCAAAATAATTTCGATTTCTCTTAGAGCAAAATCAACTATTTATTCTATAGCTAGTAATATGTAGCTTTGTGATGTTCTATATTAAAAAAAACATACAAAAAGTTACCTCCTTGCACTTCACACGTCAAAAATAAAGGTTCTCCTTCGTTGTATGGACCAATCAAGCTTTTCAGGGGTTGTCTCTGATGATCCTTTATGATAAGTTTTGACGGGGGGACTAAAATCAAACATTTCACTTGTCAATTATATGTTGACTAACTTGTATTTGTGCACGTGCTTGTACAATAAAGAATATGCTGGTTTCTTAGGAATTAATTAAAATTCTGAATTTCATTTCGTTTTAATATAATAAAACTTAATATTTATTTTAAAAAAATCTTGAGGAATGAGTTGTACACCCTAAAAACTAGATATATTTTATTAAATTTCAGACATTTCGAGGGGGCCAACGTGAACTAGTGATTAGAGTTGTTGAGCGGTGAATCCACTGATCCATGGTTCGCATCTCGTTACCTGAAAATCACTATTATATTAGTATTCCATCTAGTCAATCAGCTTAAAGTTAGGGACATCATACGCGTTATAGTCGTTGTGAACTTTTCTTCGCATATTCGAAACAAACAGACAAATTTGACATTAAAGACACCCAAAAACAAAAACAGATCGGCGTTTTGAGGAGAAGTGCAACCATACTAATGATTACTAATCGTTGAGTCACGTTTGCCTAAGGTCATAATTTGGGCATTTACCATCTGTTGTTTAATATGACAGTTCTGTAAAATCAAATACATGTATGTTTATTTCGTATTGTAGATGTTGTTGACTGGTAAAAATCTATAGTTTACTAATTTTATATAAATATGTGTATGCACGTGTATTATGCATTGTTGACGAAAATAGCCCCTGACATGAATACAGGGAAAGGTGACAGGTACTGTTTTTTTTTCTGTTTTTCGCACTTCAGATTGTCGGAAATATGAAATAAGAAGATATGCAAATAATCTAAAAGGATATAATAGGGGGAAGAAATGCTTAACGCAAACATGAAATATGAAAATACACAAATAATTTAAAAGGATATAACAGACGGAAGAAATGCTTAACGCAAACATGAAACATGAAAATATACAAATAATTTAAAAGGATATAACAGACGGAAGAAATGCTTAACGCAAACATGAAACATGAAAATATACAAATAATTTAAAAGGATATAACAGACGGAAGAAATGCTTAACGCAAACATGAAATATGAAAATACACAAATAATTTAAAAGGATATAACAGACGGAAGAAATGCTTAACGCAAACATGAAACATGAAAATATACAAATAATTTAAAAGGATATAACAGAGGGAAGAAATGCTTAACGCAAGCCCCCCAGTGGCATAGCAGTATGTCTGCGGACTTACAACGCTAGAAACCGGGTTTCGATACCCATGTTGGGCAGAGCACAGATAGCCCTTGTGTAGCTTTGTGCATAATTAAAAACAAACAAACAGCTTAACGCAAACACGAAATATGAAAATATACAAATAATTTAAAAGGCTGTAACAGAGAGAAGAAAATAGACAATCGTTTCGAGACACTTATCGTTTAGCCGAAGGTTAGATCTTTTCCTAACTGCCGCCCCCCCCAGTGGTACAGCGGTATGTCTGCGGACTTACAACGCTAGAAACCGGGTTTCGATACCCGTGGTAGGCAGAGCACAGATAGCCCTTGTGCATAATTTAAAACAAACAACCAAACATAACTGCCATATTTTTTATTTTTCGACAGGTAATTTTGAGTATTACCCGTACACAATCGTTGATTCCCATTCAATATTGCGCCGCAAAAAACAAACAAAACAAAACACAAACAATCTCAATTCGTACAAATCATTACTCTACTATTTCGATAATAGATAAATATGAAACTTATTATGTTATCGTGGACATTATGATAAGAAATATTATAATATGAAAATAAATAATAACAATAGTTACATCCTTTCTCAAATCAAAAACGATTTTTAAGTAATAACCTAAGATGATTACTATGCGATTAATTCACCTGTTATTATACACAAGTGCTAAGATATTTTTATATGCAGTTAAAGTAAAACTCAGTTCTAAATGAATTTTTTTTTATTCCTGTAAACTCCCAGTGGAGCATAGGGCCGCTACAACACCTCGCCAACGGAAGGTTTTGTTGCAGTTACTTGTAGCAGGTTGGTTTTTACGGGGTGGAGTTGCTAGCCCCGCGCGCAACAGTAGCACGTGACTTTTATAAAAGGTAATCATTGGTTATCATTAAACAATAATGAAAGTAAGATATCTACAAAGATCAGAAGTAAAAATTAATGCTGATGCAAATATAATTTCTATCTGATAAACGAAACATAAGGAATCTTGTCAACAGCAGCCTACGCCAACTACTGGTTACTCTAATCGAATAATGGGATTTGACTGTCACTCTTATAACGTTTCCAAGGCCCTAATGTAGAGAATGTGTTTTTGCCAGCAACGGGACATAAACCATGGACTCTCACATTTACAGTCCGGTACGCAAACCACTAGGCCACGACAGACCGTGATGAGTTTTATATTGTTACTTAATATTTACTTAATATATTATGTTTCTGAAAAATACTTTTTTTATCATTTTTGATACTAAGATAATATTACAAGTATCTTGAAATACTTAATAGTTTCAAATGTTAAAGACAAGTAAAATAGCATGGACTTTGCCTAAGAAAATTCTCAGCTTTTCAAGTATAACATTAAGAAAAATGGATAACATAGGAAATGACTTTCTTTTCTACACTTTCCATACAATGGGTAACCCTAACGTTCTTTCTATATATTTTAGTTTTCTAACAGAAATATCACTTTATCAGATATTAAAGAAGACGTTGTCTATAACATTGAGCAATATTCTAATACAAATACTAAACATAAACCTTAAACACTGACCACTGACCAATAACCTTTAAAACGCTATCCGTGTAGCGAGTTCTGGCTCTGTTGAAATCCACTCTACAACGATAAGACCCTTCGTCTTCTTTTTTCACCTGGCTGATTACAAGTGTGGCAGGTCTATTAACTGTTGTCAGATATGCCCTGGTGGCCAACCCATCACTGGACGAATGACGGGCTTGCCACAGGGGGCCTATTCTGCTGTCCAGGGTGTAAATCGGAGTTGGTAATTTGTCTTTGTACCACAGGACTAGAGCCGGTTTGTCATGTGGTAGAGTAGCTGTGATATTACAGGGAAGTTTCACGTCTTCATCAACCAGACCAAATATAACGGCTAAAAACAAAACAAAACAATTGAAATATATATAACCGAGCTATTAAATTTGTATTAGACTACATTCGTATGGTCAGTATATAAAAGTTTTACCTTAATTGCCTTTAGCAATTTCAAACTACTAAATCAAAATTTTACTGCAAGAAAACATGAAATATTGGGTACAGCTGTGTATTTAAAAATTCAAGAATAAGATTTTAAAAACATAATGTCTAAACTACGTGTACATATGAAGCCTTGCATAACCTAGTGGCTAAGGCGCTTGATTCGCAAGCTGAGGGTCGGGAGTTCGAATTCCCATCACTGAACATGCTCGCCATTTCAGCCGTGGGGGCGTTATAATGCGACGGTCAATCACAGTATTCTTTGGCAAAAGAGAAGCCCAAGAGTTGGCGGTGGTTAGTGTTGACTAACTGCCTTCTTTCTAGTCTTTCACTACTAAATTAGAGACGACTAGCGTTGATAGCTCTCGAGCAACTTTGCCAGAAAATTCACAAACAAATAAATAGTATGTTTTCTTCTCCTTTGAAACTGTATTTTATTAGAAGATTCCGGTAGTGAGACACCCAAAAGAAATATGAACATGCGTCTATAAATGCACATGTACAGGTTTACATAATACTTACACTGTAATGAAATCCGTGTTTGCAATGTACAAATATAAAGTTCACTATGAATATTTATATTATCTATGATTAATACAAGTAAACTGCCTCCCCCCCCAGTGGCACAGCGGTATGTCTGCGGACTTACAACGCTAGAAATCGTGTTTTCGATACCCGTGGTAGGCAGAACAGAGATAGCCCATTGTGTAGTTTTGTGCTTAAATTACAAACAAAATAAATATAAAAACTGGTAAATGTGTTATATGATTTTCATATATGACACCATATTGTCTGATCGAATCGCTTATAGTAACTGTTGACACATCCAGACCATCACATCAAACCAGATAAATAAAAATAAATTAGATTCCGCTTTACTAATGAAAGTTCAATTGGCTTCTTTAAGACCAAAGCGATGCTAAATCGACACCCGAGTCTTGCATGCTTGAGTGGGGAATCTGTTACTGATCGGCACAATTAATTCCCCACTTTCAATACCATTAAACTATAAAGGCCAATGGAAATTGTCTTCGGAAGGAACTAGGTGTTTGGTTGCGTTCTTTGAAATTGTCCAGATGTTTCTATCATTGGTACAGGGGATATTATCTTAGTTTCCAGATGTTTCTATCATTGTAAAGGAATATTATCTAGTTTCCAGATGTTTCTATCATTGGTAAAGGGGATATTATCCTAGTTTCCAGATGTTTCTATCATTGGTAAAGGGGATATTATCTTAGTTTCCAGATGTTTCTATCATTGGTAAAGGGGATATTATCTTAGTTTCCAGATGTTTCTATCATTGGTAAAGGGTATATTATCTTAGTTTCCAGATGTTTCTATCATTGGTAAAGGGGATATTATCTTAGTTTCCAGATGTTTCTATCATTGGTAAAGGGGATATTATCTAGTTTCTTATAATCATTCTATTTCACTCTATTCAAATCACAATATCAATATGTCTTAATAAACAGACTCCACATCCTTCAAATTGCAGGTATTCGTTGTTGAAGTGGTTGTTAGATTCTAGATAAAAGATGGCCATTAATCTGACAATTACTATAATTGTCTCCTACCAAGAAGACGTAGACAGAATAATAGGAATAGATGCATTAAATGCATAAAAAGGAAAACTCAGTTCTGTAGGGAATATTGTTCTGTGAGGATGTTCAACAATCGCGTTACATGAACCAAGGTTATAAAACAGATATTAGAGTACTGTTCTATAATAAAGGCAAATAAATTAGGAAAGCGGCTGGAAAACAACAACTTGTGATTGTAGCAACAAAAATCTGCTCTACTAAGCCAATCAGAGAGGACGAGATAGTTAGATAATAGCTATATTTTTTCTAATTACTAACCCATACATTATCATGCATTATTTTAAACATACATTAACCAAGAACTGTAACAAAAATCTGCTCTACTAAGCCAATCAGAGAGGACGAGATAGTTAGACATAATAGCTATATTTTTTCTAATTACTAACCCATACATTATCATGCATTATTTTAAACATACATTAACCAAGAACTGTAACAAAAATTTTCTCTCTGAAATATCATAATATAATGACGTTTCGAATGTCATCTAGTAACCAAACTTTGGGAGTTACTTAGGAAAAGAGATACCAGAATCATCTATTTTCTTCTCGTTCAGACAAGTTAATCTGAAAAAAAAAAAAAACATTATTCAACGAAAATTGTTTGTTTTTGTTTTTTTGGAATTTCGCGCAAAGCTACACGAGGGCTATCTGCGCTAGCCGTCCCTAATTTAGCAGTGTAAGACTAGAGGGAAGGCAGCTAGTCATCACCACCCACCGCCAACTCTTGGGCTACTCTTTTACC